GAGCGAAGCGCGCAGTGCCGGCGCCCGGTGCGCTCCGAAACCTATTGTCGGTGAGAATCCCTTAATTCCATTACACCTCCCGCAGCAATCCGCTTAGGGGAAGCCGTGGAGCGGCTGGGAAAGGACGAGGCACCGCTTAAACACACCTTGGCTTTATCCCGGGGGAAGAGAGCGCGGCGCAGGGCACGGACAGAGCCGCGGGGCTCTCGGGTCCTGCCCAAGGCTCTGCCAACCCGGCTGGAGCCGCCTCCGCCGCTCCCGGGACAGCTTCACCCGGGATCCCTGTCCCCGCTGCCACCCCGGGTCACACGGGCTGCTCTGACGTTCCTCAGCCCGGCTGGGGCTGCTCCCAGTCCTGCAAAGATGCTCCAGGGCTGGAGCCCCTCTGCTCTGGAGCCAGGCTGGGAGAGCTGGGGGTGCTCAGCTGGAGAAGAGGAGGATCCAGGGAGACCTTGGAGCCCCTTGCAGAGCCTAAAGGGGCTCCCGGAGAGCTGGAGAGGGACTGGGGACAAGGCCTGGAGGGACAGGACAAGGGGGAAAGGCCAGGTTAGACCAACCTGGGATAGTGGAAGGTGTCCCTGCCCATGGAATGAGATGGTCTTTAAGGTCCCTCCCCCCCCCGACCACCCTGTCACTGTAGGAATCCACCTGTGCCCGCTGCCCTCCAGCCCATTCCCTGCTCCACCTCCACCCTCAGCACATTCAGCAGAAAGGAAAGACAAACACCCGTAAAAGGCGTGGAAAATTTTATTCTTTACTGATCTTTAATAGTTTTTTCGTTTGGTTCAAACACAATAAATATTTCAGTAATAGCATCGAACAGACCGGACTCCACACCCACTGCAGTACCTGAACCCCCGGAGCCGGGACTCGGGGAGAGCCATCAGGGCTTTGCCAGGGGACAGGGACAGCGTCCACTCCAGGGGACAGGGGCAGGGCAGTGTCCCTGCTGGGAGATGGGGAGGGAGGGGGGTGGATTTTCAAGTGGATTTTGAAGTGTCCAACCTGGAGCACGGCCCCAGCTCTGACCGGATGAACGACACTGGGAGGGTGAGCAGCGAATTCCTGAGAACCTGGGGCAGGGATGCCCCGGCCACTCCCCTGGAGACCAGCCCAGAGACCTCCCAAGCCAGGTCTGACCACACCTGGGTGGGCCAAAGGGTCCTCTACACACCAGCAGCGACCCTTTCCCACAAGCAAAGAGCTCCCGTCGTCACCACCAATAATTTGGGTTGGAAAAACCCTCAGAGTCCATGGAGCCCAACTGCTCCCCCAGCCCTGCCCAGGCCACCCCTGACCCGTGTCCCCAAGTGCCACCTCCACGGGGCTTTTAAATCCCTGCAGGGATGGGGACTCCCCCCTGCCCTGGGCAGCTGTGCCAGGGCTGCACAGCCCTTTCCAGGAAGGAATTGTTCCCAGTATCCAACCCGACCCTCTCCTGGCACAGCTGGAGGCCGTTGCCTCTTGTCCTCTCCCTGTCCCACCAAGAGCAGCCTCGGTGGCACCTCAGGCCCTGCTCTGACACAGCACAGGTGCCAAAGGCAGGAGCAGCCAAGGCTGTTTTCCCAAAAGTGCTGCTTCCCTAGGGATTGTCCATGTCTATCCCAAGGAGGAGAAGAGTTTAGGGGCCTCCCAGAGCTGACCCTAGATCAGGACAGCTCCGAGTCCCTGCGGCAGGTTCTTGATGTGCCAGGAGGTGACATCAGCCCTGCTGAAGGAGCTGGAAGGTGCTCCCAGAGCCTCAGGAGCTCCCGCTCCCAGCACTGCTCCCAGCTCTGGCAGAGCCCCTGGCTCAGGTGCCTGATGTTTATGAGAAGAGGCGGCTGCCAAGTCCCATCCAGGGGCTCCAGGAGAGCTGGAGAGGGACTGTGGACAAGGGATGGAGGGACAGGACACAGGGAAATGGCTTCCCACTGCCAGAGGGCAGGGAGAGATGGGAGATTGGGAAGGGATTCTGGGCTGTGAGGGTGGGGAGGCCCTGGCACAGGTTGGGCAGAGAAGCTGTGGCTGCCCCTGGATCCCTGGAAGCGTCCAAGGCTTGGAGCAACCTGAACTAACATCATCCCTGGAAGAACAGACAGCACAGGTCACCTGAGGAGCTGAGGAGCCAAGACAGGTGCCCTCCATCCCCAGGAGCACATCCCTTGGGGAGGACAGAGCCCAGCCAGTGACCTCCCCCCTGGGACATCCCCCTCAGGAGTTGTTACCCAGGAACACATTTATCCTTCAGACCCAACACCAGAGCGATGGATAAACGGGTTGTTCCTCAGCTGCCACACCCCACCCTGCCCACGGGCTTTGCTCTCTGCTCGTTTCCATTCCCCTCTCAGGATCCAGGAGCAGAAATCACTGGATTTCCACCAGCCCAAGGAGAACTCCCCCTCCTCAGCAGCACGGATCACTGAGGTGGGCTCTGCTCCCTCCCTGCTCTGGTGGCACCAGGGGCAACCAGCCCAACCCAGCGCTGATTTAAGGAGACTTTTTTTTTTAGTGTCAAGGTGCAATCAATTAAGGCACCAAAAGGCCAGGACTGCCCAGAGACAAAGCCTGTGCAGAGGAAGCAGTTCCAGTTCGGGAGAGAAATGTTTCTCCTACACACTGAGGTTTGAGCTCAGACAACTCCTCCCAGCACCAGCAGCATCCCAGTCCTGCGGGCCCAGCCATGCCCGTGGGAAGAGCCAGGACCAGGCAAGGGCCGGGTTTGGGAGCCCAGAGCTCAGCTGGAGGCCTGAGGGAACAGCTCAGTCCTCCCCTGGCCCTGCAAACACACAACTAGACAGGAAACCATCCAACCCCCACGCTCTGCCATCCAACCGTGTCCCAGGGAAGTGTGTCCCAGTTTAAGGTTCCCTCCAGTTCCCGGGCGAGCGGCACTGAAATTTATCTCCATAATTATGTTTCAGTGAACAACATTAAACAGCCAAAAACTCAAGTGCAGCCTGGTTCATTTGCCCACTGAGG